TATATATATATATATATATATATATATATATATATATATATATTATATATATATTATGTGTATATATATATATTATATATATATATATATATAAAAATCTCTCTCTCTATCTAATTAAATATTTGCAGTAGAATCTTGCTTATCCGAATTCACAATTTATTTTAGCTATTAAATTTTTTTGTACATTAAATATTTAATTTTTTTATTTTATAAAAAATACATAAATTTTAATTTTTATTTATATTGAATAAAAAAATCTAATTAAAATGAATATTAATATAAATATTTTTATCTCTGAAGTATATTCCTTCAAACGTATCTCACGAATATTATTTGAATATTAATATAATATATTCAAATAAAATAAAAAATTATTTGAATTCAATCTGTTACTGATCTTTATGTATTATATATTATTATTATTAATTTTATTATTATCTATATATATAAAGTATTAATATATTCGTTGAAAGAAAAGAAAAGTTATAAAGTTAATTCTAGAAGCTAAAAAAAAAAAAATCATAAAAGATACAAAAATATCAATTGAAGCTTATTTATTACATTATAATTTTTCACTAAATGAAGCTAATAGAATGAAAATATTGTCTCTGTTACATCATTACTCTGTTCATGTCTCATTTCATTTAATATATATTTAAATTATAAATAATTTAACAAATAATTAACATTTTCACATATAAATTTTTGTATTTGTTTTTATCTCTAAAGTCATTTCTTTAAACGTATCTCACGAATATATTAACATTCTATATATTTTAAAAATTCAATTGAACAACGAAATTCAACTCAATTAAGGAAAAATATTTATAGTTTTTAGAATATACGGTTAATCAAGATTCTATTGTTAAGATTTATTTATCTATACAGTACGATTGATTTAAATATATATATTTAATTGTTTCTTTAACTATTGGAAATATAAAAAAAATGTTGCATTCATATTTTTCTTTTTTTAAAATAAATTTATATATTTTATAGAAAAAAATTAGTATTTATTATTTTTGATTATTTTATTATTCTACAAATTAAAAATAAATTAATTAACTTAATTTGGTTTTTTTTAGAAAAATATTAAAGTATTATTATAATTTAATAAAATTATTGAATTAATAATTAAAAATTAATTTAAAATTTTGTTCTTATTCAAAATAGAAAATATACTATAAATTACTTTTTTTAAAATCACTTTTTTTATATTTCCAAAAGTTTAGAGAAATAGTTAAATATATAAATTTAAATTGAATATATTGTGTATATTTTTGTTCACTACGAAAATACAAAAGTATTTACAATTCAATAAATAAGTCGCTACTTGGAGTATCCACAGATCATAAGTCCTGTGTTCAAAACTCACAACTTCTTACATTATCAAATTGACAAAATCAATTTATTTGAAATTTGAAATCCTGAATTAAAGATATCTTATTATGTTCAATCGATGATATATTTATATTATTTTTATTTTATACATTATAAAATAATATAAAATAATTGTTTAAATATAAAAAATGATATAGGTTGAAAAATTAGTAAAAATATCTTTTTTTAAAAAATGGTATTATAAATTTATATACGAATTTATTAATTTAAAGTAAATTAAAATCTTGTATTTTTTTAAATTTTATTTATTATAATTTCTTTGTTATATTTACTTCTTAAGATCTATCTTTAATAACAAGCAATAATTTCATCAATATTACAGAGAATAAAATTAAAACGGTATATTATTATTTTTAACAATAATTATCATCGATTGAATATAATTATTTTAAAATTCAGTATTCCATTTTCTAAAATTGACTGTTTCAATCTGATCTAATTTGAAGCGAATTCTCCCTCACACCACTCCACAGAGTAAGAAAAAATTTTAAAGAGAATAATCGCTTTTTACTTTGGTCTAAGAATCCCTGCGATCCTCTTCTTCTTCCTTCTTCATTTCAATGCCTTCTTGATTTGCCTCAATCATTTCTTTTAATTCTTCTTTTTGTTCTTTAGAAATTTCTTTTATTCCAATTTCTTCTTTTTCCTCTTCTTTTACAACTACTTCTTCTTCCTTTATAGGTTCTTTTTCTTCAACATTTGTAGATATTGATTCTTGTTCCTTTGATTCTTCTACTTCTTCTCCAGATGGACTTACATTAGCCCATCTTGATTTTCGTCCCCTATTTCGATTTTCTCTTTCCATGTTACTTGAATGTTTATTATTACCTTTTTTATCTCTAAGATTATCTCTTTGTGAGTGATTCTCTGAATCAGAAGTCCAGGAACCAGGAGGAAGTTCCTGATTTCTCCAGGGAACAGCAGATTCTGGAGGAATAATGGATGGTGGACCCATAGGTCCAAAAGGTGGTCTGACGTGGGGACGAATATCATCAAAGGGAGGTCTAAAAAAGGCATCTGATTCTCGGGGATCGAACGGTGGTCCACGAGGTCCAAAAGGCCTCATTCCAGGACGAAGAGGACGGGGTCCCAAGCCTCGTGGATGGAACATTAATGGACCTATAAAATAAAAATTTGTTAAATTTTATTTATTTATTCAATTCTTATTTATTTGTTAAGAAATATATATAAAAAATGATTTATATCTATTTTAAATAGTTAACAAAAGTAAAAAAATTAATTAATGTTAAATTAACTTAATGTTCTTTAAAAATAACCAAATATTAAATTTTTTTTATAAAGAATGAAAACATTTTTACCTGGTCCGCGAACTCCTAAGGGAGTTGGACGTGGTCCAAATCCATCAGGATGTCCAGGTCTTGGACCTCTAGGTCCCATGATTGGTGGCATTCCAAATATAGGATCGATTCCAAAAAATTCTCGTCTCCTAGGTTCAAAATCACCTCGGTCGAGATGTCCTCTTGGATCGAAACTATCTTGAAGTCGCGGATCAAAACCATCTCGTCTGATTTCATAATCAAATCGATCTCGATCATCAAGTGGTCTTCTTCCTCGTACTTCAGACCTATCGAATTCCTCCCTTTGAAAAATAATTAATAATTTAATACTTTAATACTTTAGATATAATTATATTTTTATATTTAATTATAGTTAATATTTTAAAAACTGAACTATTATATTAATTTTTTTTACAGAATATAAAATCCATTCTTTAATAAATGATTTTGAAGAAAAAATAATTTTATTTGTATATATAATTATATATCAAATGTTTTGTTTAATTGAATCTGACAAGAATATCTGACAAGAGATTAAAGTTATTAAAAAATATTTATATACTATAACTTATATACTAACTAAGTAATTAAAAAGATATTTGGATACATGTATTATATGATATAAATTATTTTTTGTAGGTCGAATAATAGAGATTCCAAGATTAATTTCATTTTTTTAACTGAATTATATAATTTATTTGGATTTTCCTACAAAAAAGTTAACTTTATGTCGAAAAACACGTTTAGAAGATATTTCAATTTAAATATTGTCATATTATTAAAAAGAATAATTATCTGTGATTAATTCTAGTTCAATAGAATTTTCGCAAATATATAAAAATAAAACACGCATTCCTTTATTGATTGAATGGCCTGATATATTCTCTAATGTGTATTATATTTCACTTATTTTATTTAATTGAAAGCGATAGTCAATAAAATAAATGCATATTTTATTTTTATATCTATCCATGAGTTGTTCTAGAACCAATAATAAACTAGAATCAATTATAGTCATTTTACATTATCCGGTTTTCATCATTCAGTTGAAAATAAATATCGATTGATTATTGATACATATATACATATATAATGTTTAAATATTATACTGATCAATAATCATTTTCAATTACACAACAAAAATCGGAGAGCGTAAATTAGATAAATAAAAAGACTCATAAATGATTGTCATCTTTAGTCTTTAGTCTTCAAATTTTGACAGGATAGAAATATTTAATACTTTTTTATTAGAATAAAAAAATCTAAATCAATCTATTAATGCATCCAGATAAATTGATTAATGAATTCAAAATTTTATGATTTTAATTAAAAAAGCGAAATTGATTTTGAAATCTCGTTCATTATTTGACTTATGAAAAAATTCTTTGCATAATATAATGTTTACCTTTAAATTAAATAGTTTTGTTAAAACATTTTTCTTTTATATAACTTTAATTTCTGACTGAATTATGGTGAAATATTTGACCATATCAAATTAAACTGTTTATAATACTGTTTATAAAATTGTTTATAATATTCATGTTTTATTGTGTATATTTTTATATGCGTATAATAATTGTATTTATTTTTAATAATTTACTTATTTTTGTTTATTTTATCAATTACAAAATTAAAATTAATATATATAAAATTATATTTTACCTTTGTTCTCTAAGTGGTCCAAGTCTTCCAAAATCTTCTACTCTTTGCTGTCCATGTATTCTATTATCAAATTCTTCTTGATATATTCCTCCTTGCAACCTTGGAACATCCATATATTCCTCGTGTATTTGTGATCCTCTGTGACTCCTTCCGAAATTCTGTCTATCTCTTTGTTGTTGATATTCTCTTGGATCTTGTGGATTACGAAAATCTGGTGGTCGAGCTGGGAAATCACCTCTCTCTTGAGGTAAACCAAATTTTGGTAAATCCATCAAAGAAGAAAGAGGTTCTCCACGTGTTGATCGAGAATCATCAAAACTTCTATCAGATCTATCTCGTTCTTGACGATTACGAGGAATTATTCGATCAACACGATCTTCAAGCGGCAGTGTACCATCAGCCAATTGACGCAAACGATCAGCTAAACTTGGTTTGCCATCCTTTTTTGTAGTAGATTCGTTTTCCTGAATATAAATATTTTATCAAAATTGTTTAATTAATTAAAATTATAAGTAAAATAAAATTTTTTATTAATTTAAATCATTTATATAATTATATATTTTGCATAATTTTTTAAAACTTTTTATTTCTAATATTTCAATATTTAATAATATTAATAAAATCAATACAATCTTTAGTTTCATATCTTTTAATTTAATTTAGTCTATAATCTTTTTTTAATAGTAAATTACCTGAAGATTTTGAGTTTGTGGATTTCCTTCGCGATTTTCTCTGTTTTCTCTTTCTCTTCTATCATCTCTATCTCTATCTCTAAGATCCCTTCTGCGATCACGTCCTCTATCTCTTCCTCTGCCTCTGTCTCTTCCACGATCCATTCTAGAATCATTACCTTCTCTATCTCTGTGCGATAAATGTGTCTCTCTATCTCTTCTTTCTCTATTTTCACGATCTCTTTCTCTTTCTTTATAATCCCGATGCTATTATTATATTTAAAGCAGAAGTCAAAATAATTTTATATAATAATATATAAGACAAAATTATTGTTAAAATAAATAAATAATATATATTTACTTCTGCTTGTTGATCAGATTCAATTCGTTCTTCATTTTGTGGAAGTTGTTGTTCAGTTAAATTATTTTTATTTTTTGCTCCGTTTGAATTTTGTGGCATTGCATCTTCCATTTCTACATCCATATCATCAGCAGAATGTTGTTGAGGTAGTTGCATTTGTAAGGGTGCAGAAGGTCCTACACTATATGGTTGACGTAACATTGGTAAATTTGGCATTCCTGTTTCCGTTGTTGGCGGCGGAACTCCTATCGGAGGAACATTATGTGGCATACCTAAAAATCGAATTTTAAGTTTTTATCATTTCTTCTTCGTATTCATAAATTTCATTTCGTAAATAAAATATTATATATAGGATGTTAATATATTTAGAAAACATCTTTGAAGAGTCAAATTTAGAGGTCAAAACAAATACAAGATATATTATTGAGATTTATTTATTAAATTATAAGCAAATTAAATCTCATATGAAATCAAACGACAGTATGATTTAAATCTTCGTCTTATTTCATTTAATGCAATTTTAAATTGCTTATAAATAATAATAAGATTTAATAAATAAGATTTACTCGATATTTTTATATATTGACATTTATTTTTATCGATTCTAAAAATATCCCACGAATATATTAATTTTATATACATACCAGTAGAATTAGGTTTATCAGAAGGTGCTGCTGGAGCTGGTAAAGGAATTTGAGTTAGTAAACCAACGCCAACACTTGCTCCAAATGGAGAATTTACAGGTGGCGTTAACATAGTTTGCATCATTCCTGGTGGTCCTAATAAACTTTGCATATTTGGAGGTGGCACACCTATGGGAACATTTGGCATTAAACTATGTGCCATTGGTAATCCCATTGGTCCAATCATACCTAGATAATAATACATTGATAATATTGGGAAAAAACACTGATTTTTTATTAAATTTCTTTTAAATAATTACGTACGAGGAACTCCTGGCATCGTGAAAGCAGGTGGCATCATCTGTAATTGTGTATTTGGTGGTGCTAAAAGCGCAGCTGATGTAGGAGGTCTAATTGGTGGAGGTTGACTTGTATCAATTACTTGTTGTTGTTGTTGACCTTGTTGCTGAGTTTGCTGTTGAGATTGTTGCTGTTGAGCGCTAGTTGAAGGTTGCATTACATTTACCATACCATCTGCTAAATTTGGAATTCCAGCAGCTGCAACCAATGCTTGTTGTTGTAATTGCAACTGTTGTTGAAGCACATCTGCAGTTCCGGAATGCTTTAGTTTACCTATATATTATTGATGATTTATAATATAATATATTTATATTAATTTGTAATTTATTCAAAACTTAATAATAAAATGTAATTTTTTTTTAACCTTTTAAATTGGGCGGTAGAGTATCCTCATCAATCATACCTCCTTCTTCTAATAGTTCTAAATCTTGATCAGTAACATTAACTAATTTATTCCAAGGAATATAACTAACTCCCAATTCAACTTCCCAATAATCTTTCCATTCCTTTCCTTTTACTCCTTTTCCTGGTGCCCAAGCTAACTAAAATATATTAAAAATTTTATTATTATAAAAAACATTTTTCTTCATACTATATAGGAATTTAAAATTAATAATAGATTTATAAATAAAAATTTTTGTAAAAATAAGTAATTACATTAATATGTCTAAAAACAATCAAACTTACAGTGATTGCTTTTCCTTGCATTTTATGATTTTTAAGCTTAGTAAGAGCCCGGTATGCATCTTGTCTTCTATTCATGCATATAAAGGCGCAACCTCTAGGTGAAATTAAATCTATACTAACAATGTCACCAAATTCTCCAAACGTATCTGAAAGTTCTTCTTGATGTACCAATTTTGATAGATGTCCTACCCAAAGAGTAGTACTACAAACTGTAAATAAATATTAAATTCATTTTAAAAAAAAAAGACAAAAAAAAATTAAAAAAAAAAAGAAAAAAGAATATATAATAAAAAAAAAAAAACAATTACCACTTAATTTATCTCTCACAATTGGTGGCAGTCCTCGTTTACGTCTTTCTCTTCTTTTTCTCGTTCTTCTTCAGTCATTTTTTCTCGACTATCTTCTCGTTTTCTATCACGACCTCTGTCTCTTGATCTAGATCTATATAATAAAAGTAATTTAAATAATTTATAATCATAATTTTAATAATATAATATAATTATTAATTCTTGAATAAATATTATATCATAATATTATATATTATATAATATATATTATATATTATAATTTTGATATAATAAAATGTGTGAATAATATCAATATATAAAATAATGTAAAAATATGTTTACATAAATAAATTATTCAATAATATATTTATATAGTAAAAAATATATAAAATTACCTTCTTCTTCTAGATCTACTTCTTGATCGAGATTTTCTATCTCTGTCTCGATCTCTATCTCTATCTCTATCTCTATCTCTATCCCTATCTCTATGCCTTGGTGATCTAGAACGACTATGATGTCTGTATCGATCAGGAGATCTACTTTGTGATCTTGTATTTTCACAATTTACAATTTCTACACTGCTACTATCTCGTCTTGCGCCATTTCTATGAATGATTTATTAAATTAATTATAATAAAGATTAAAATAAATATAAATTAAAATCGAAATTTTATAAAAGGGACTAGAAAAAAATGTTTACCCAGAATAATCTTGTGTGTCTTGTCGTTCATCCAAAAGCGGACTTTTTTGATTTTGATGCGTTTGTTGATTTATCTGTCTAATATTTGATAAAGGTTGAGAGGCATATGGTAGAGCTGGTGGATAACCAGGAGGTGGTTGACTCATATCTTGTATGACGCCGCTATTTACATTTGTCGTATATGTACTTTGTTGACTTGGTTTCAAGATATCCGAAGGTTTTAATTCACATTCTGACGCAAATGGTAAATTCTAAAATAAAAATTGATTAACAATAAAAAATCTTTTTTATATTTATATAACTAAAAAGAATATATTTTTATTATCAATAACATACAGGAACAGTTTGAGCTAAATGCTTATCAAATTCTTCTTCTTGCTGTTTCATTTGTTGAAGTTTTCGCATTTTTTCTTCTGTTTCATGTTGTGAAGAAGTACTTCCTTGCATTGTTTGTTGTAATGTTTGAAGCTGTCTCAAAACCTATATTATAATTTCAATAATTAAATAATTTATTGTAATATTATATTTTTTATTAAATAAGTAAATTATATTAATGTTAAAATCATTAACTTGTACCTCTGGATTTGTTAAAAGAAGTCCAAGACTTTCTAAACTATTTCCAGTTGAAATTGTATTATGTTGACCAGTATTAGATGTTGCTGTTGCTGTTGGCGAATTAGCAACAACAACATCATCATCTTCTTCTTCACCATAATCAAAATCTAAAAGTTTTTTATCAAATTTTACAGAACTTTTTTGTTCATTTGACTCTTGTTTTTTTAATAACAATTGTTGTAAATGTTGTAATTGATCAAGAAAAGAAGCATCCATTTGATTTGAATTTGATTGCCCCTAAAAAAATGTTATAATTAAAATATGTTAAATTGCAAACGATATTATAAACAAATATATAAATTTTTATTAATTATTTTTATTTTAATAATTATTAAAACGAATATAAGCTAAACTTACTAAAAGTTTATTAGCATTAACTATATTTGCTGTTTCCATTTTTGTTTGTGCAAGCCAAGCAGGATCAATTGGTTTTGCAGAAGAAAATATTTTTTGGTCTTTTACTGCATTTTTTGCAGTTAAAGGTGAAGTTTTTACAGAAGTACCAGTATTACTAACATTATTTGTTGAAGAAATATTTAATGTACCTAAAAATAATAAATATTCAATATCTGATATGATAAATTTCATAGATATTTTATATACTACAAATAATTTTATATATTAAATCATATTTTACCATTAGTATTAACTGCTTGTTCCTTATGTATTGGATGATTTGGATCCGCAAGATCAAATAAAGGTTGTATTACCTCTGAAGGAAAAACTGCATTTTTTTGCCAAAGATTTAAAACTCTTATTACTTTACTTTTATCTTCTTGAGGACATTTCAAAAGATTTAAAAAAGTGGTTTGCATGTTCTTAGCAAAGCGTGGAGCAAAGACATCTTTCTCTACTCCAAACTGGTGTCTGGACTGACGTACAATTGAATCAATAACATACAATCCAGGCACTTTGTATTCTGGTTTACACTGTAACATAAAATTAACATATTATATTAATATAAATAAAACTAATTTTATAATTTAATTTTAAAAAAATTTGTTATTTTTTATAATATAAAATAATATCTTATAAAATTATATTATAATTATATTAATATATACAAAATTATAAAAATAATTTTATATGACTTACTTTTTGAATGAATTTTTCAACACTTTGCACAACATGTTTATAAAATTTAATTGCTTTAATTGCACCCCTAGTTAAAGAATTCATTTTAGCTTTTGAAATTGGTGGTTTGACATCATACAAAGCTGAAAGCTGAAAAGAAATAAATAAATTCTAAATTAAATAATTATAATTTCTTTCTTGAATTAAATACTTTAATTTATTAGTAAAAATTAATTACTTTTAAATTTCTATTAATCATATTCATGAATAAATAAAAAGAATTAATGGCATATTATTATCATATATATTTAATTCATTCATTGATCAAAAATTATATTTAAATTTTAAAGAATAATAATTAATCAAATTTTTAAATATAAAAAAAAATATAGAATTAATGTTATTAAAATCTATTTTCTACATAAATATAATAATATTGTATACATATAATTTCAATTTTTACATTTACTTAATTTAAATTCAATAATATATGTATATTAATAAAATCTAATTGATTGGAAAAATTAAATAAATTTATACTAAAAAATTATTGTAATTGTTTAAAATCTCCTTTATTGCTTCTTATTCTTTTTGCTTTTGTGATATTAATTTTATAATATAAATTAAACACAATCATATAATTCAATTAAAATACATAAATAATAATTATCTATCTTTTCTTTCCATTGTAGAAATTGCAAAAATTTTAATAATAACATTATGTGTTACAAATTATATTTTAAATCACAATAAAGGCTCTCTTTGAGTTCTATCCTCCTTTCTTACGTACAGAGATGGTTTCTCCCTCTTTCTTACACATTAAGAAATCAAAGCATTCTTTGAAGATTAAAGTTATTCAAATTTTCATACAACAGTAAAAATGTCAAGAAAAATATTTTTTTTAAACTTTTACCTTAAAATTGTATCGTTTTCAACTTCGAAAAATAAAAAAGAAAAAGAAAAAGGAAAGAGAAATGAGAAAAAAAGAGGGAGAGTCGGCGGGCTAGAAAAAGAATCAAGGATAAGTTAACTTACCTCTGCGTTAAATGCTTTAACCGCTTCCATTCTGATGAAGGTGCAAAGCACCAAATATTTGCTACGTTTCACAGAAATCCGTGATTCTTGGGACGTTCAATGTTTTTGCGATAAATCGCATGTCTCGACTCAGGGCGCACTGTCTAGCTGGGCCATGCTACTCAAGATGGCGGCGCTATTTCCCGAAAGACATCGCGGGGCGGTGATGCATGACGTCACATGCCGCTATGCACAGTCGGTAACAAGTTTCACTTTAATACCGATTATTGTTCACCAATCAAATTTAATTATAAATGAAATTAACTTAAATTTTTGTTTCTTCATAATTCACTTATTCAATAATTAATTAAATTTTAATAAAATATATCAAGAAATAATATTCAAGATATAAAATTAATTAATAAAATATAATATAATATATATAGCAAACAATTTGATTACAAAGTGGCATCAAATTGATATCAAATCTCTATAAAATTTGAATATAAAACCTTATCCATTCATATGTCACTATTATAATTCAATTTTAATGTCAAACTTTGTACTAAATTTTGATACTAAATTTGCATCAAAAACAGATCAAACTTTAATACATAACCTGATGTTTCTTTGTTTCTTATTAAATACAAAACAAATTTTGTAATTATAAATGAATGTAAAATTAGCGTCAAATATATTTTATAATCTTAATGCCATAAATAAGCTTTCAAATAGTTTAATTCAAAAATATTTTTAAAAATAAATAGAATATATAAAATATTATTATAATTATTTATTTTTTCTACAAAAATATATATAACAACTAAATTTAGGTTATAACTTTTAATTTGATTGCAAATAGCAATTTTATTCTAATTTTTAACTGTATATTGTTCTTCTTCTTAATTTTTTTTTTTTGAATAATTATTCAAAAGAAATTGTATGTCTTCTATTTTACATCTTTTCCTTTACTATGAATCAATAAACCAAACATAAAAAAAAAGAAAATTAGACAAAGTTTTATTAATATTAATAATAATATTAATTATAAAAATATAGTTTTTGCATATTATAAATATGATAAATTTTTAGCATAAATGAAAATAATTATTATACGAAATCTGATTTATACTTAAAAATATACTCAATGATAAATTTATTTTGCAATAAAAAGCATTATATAAAATATTAATATATTAATATTATATTAATACATATTATATAAATGTAATATAATATTCATATTTTAGTTCTATTGATTTAAATATGTGTTCCTTAATCTTGATATTTTATGTTTACGTCATATATTATTATCTGTAATAGAATATTCATATATAAATATTGAAATTAATACAAATATAATATTTTAAAATATGAAAAAATATACTCATTTAAGAAGTAGTGATAATATATTCTAATTGTTTGAAAATAAAAGATAAATGTAGACAAATTTTAATAATACAGGTCTTATATTTTTTTGCTGTGTATAATAATAGCTGCAATATATATTGGTGCATTTTATTTGTTTTATCATTATCAGTGTTTTTTGAAGCACTTTCTTAAGGAAATGAATACTTCTAACATTTACTCAATTCTTAAAGTTATAAAATATGCATAATATAAATATTTAAAATGAAGAAGAATATATAGCTAAATTTAATATATTTTTACCATCAAGACTTGCTTTTGTATATTTGATATAAATCTTGAAGATTTTGTATAATTTTGATGCCAATTTGTTAATTTATACATAATTTAATATTTATAGTAATCAAATTATCAAAAAAACTTGTCAAAATCAAGGTGATATTATGATAACAAGACATATATTAAAGATTTGATAAAAACAGATTTAGCTGACAAAAATTATATTTTATAATTTTATCTTAATTTTATATATTTACATTATAATAATTAATCAGTATTTACAACTTTATTGTATATACTATACTATATAGTATTTTATTTAATAATTTTAATATTGTTGTACTTTATATTTTTATAAATAAGATTTAAAAGAAAAAATATATTTTAATAAATTTTATTGCAATTTTTAAAATAAATTTATATGAATTATTACACCATACATTATTTAGTATATATCTATATATACTATTAAGTATTATTCATTTAGATATAAGATGTGATATATAGATATAATAGTTGAAAGTGCAGAAACAGAAGTACCAACTTTATTCTTAAATTTATATAAATACATATGCTATGATTATATACTTCAGAAGTTTTAAATAATTATTTAATAAGTTTGAAGCATACGTTTATACACTTCTATTAGTTTTATGAAAAAGTATATTATAAAAAGTATATTATTATTTAAAATTAAATTGAATTATACATAATTGTACGTAATTATATATAAAATTTTTACCTGATATATAAAAATATATAAATAAATGATTATAAAGAAAATATTTAATAAATATATTGTGATGATTTGTAAATTTCAAATTTATTACAATAAGAATTAAAATGATAAAATTTTTAATATATTCATTTAAATATTATATTTGTATTTTTATAAATCATAAAGATTTTTACTTAATGAATTTTATTAATAAAATAGGTGACCACTTATTAAAAAAATGATAAAAATATTGGAAGAAATTAACCTTGAAAATTATATTTTAATACTTCCCTCAGTGGCTGTTGGAAATATTGGACAATTATGCATTGATTTGTTAATATCTAATTTAAATTTGTATAAAATTGGAAGTTTATGGAATTCTATGTTCCTCCCAATCTGTGGACTTAATCCTTATGATAAAAATTCTAATTCTCTTTGTACTACTGGTGACTTTTATGTTGGAATGTATAACATAATTCTTTTACAATTACGTTCACCTTATGTTGGTAATTTAAATAACTTTTTTGATGAATTAATACAATTTATTCAACATAAAAAAATCAGCAAGGTACAGTGTGATATAATACTATAATATTATAAATATTAATCATATAATTTAATATTAATTTAATTATTAATATAAAATCTATTTTTATAGATAATAATTTTAACCAGTAGTTATGATTACGAATGTATAAAGAAATCAGAAACTACCTTAAGATATCTTTCTTCAGATAATTTTTTATTAAATAATGAGAAACTTCTTAAAACTCTTTCTTGGAAAAGACATATAAAAAATATAACAGAAGATTCTACAGAAGAATGTTACATTTCTGGTGGTGGATTTGCAAATGATTTCTACGAGCATCTCAAATCAATGGAAATTCCTAGTACAATACTTTTTTGCTATTGTTCAGAAGGAGATAATGTTTCTGATGCATTGGTACTTTTCAATGGATTGAATGAATGGTTGAATTTAATAAGTGATATTAGTAATAACAGTATTAATTATCCACCTTCTTGGGAATATTTTTTCGGCAATCCACCTTCTTCTGATATATATTAATCTTTTATATCTAATTATATTTTATAAATAGTTTTGATGTATTTTAAAAATAAATTATAGATGAAGATTAATATAATTATTATATATAAAAAAAGAGTTATTAAATATTATTATAGAAAATTAATATTATTTTATATACAAAAGTAACATTCTGTTAAAAATATAATATGTTAATATATAATTAACATTATTAACATTAAATTAACATTATAAATTTGAAAATTAATTAAAACAAAATTTATTTATTTAAGTAATATTAATAATAATCTATATAAAATTCCATGTAACAAATTTATTGTTTATAAAAAAAAGTTTACGCAAGTAGCTTAAACTTAGAAGAAAAGGCAGAATATGACACTAAAGCAGCTAAAAGAACAGCAAGAAGTTCAGAGTTAACCCAAGGTCCACGATATATGCCTGGATTATTAAGTACTACAACAACTAAAGGTTTCACATTATTTGAATCTTCTCCATTTCTTAATGCTTTACGTATAGCTGCATATCTTTCTTCATCATATAATTTTATACTATAATCTCCAGAATGTACTTTTTTTATATCTTCTGTCCAAGATACCTATAAAAATTAAATTTATTATAATAAAAATTAAATTTTTATAATTTTGATATTTATATGATTTAATTTTATTACCATTTTAACTTATTTTAAATAAAAAAATAAAGCATATAAATGAATCATAAATTTAAATGAAACATACCTGATATTTGTTATCTGAACTTAATCTAGCAGCTGGTAATGACTTCCCATCAACTTCTGCATATAATGTAATACCTTTTATACCATTACTACATTTAAGTACAAATTGTGTTGTAAATGCTACATTTGTTAAGATTGTTGCATCTTCTGTGATATATGCAGATGCAATAACCTCAGGTTTTTGACAAGTTTCACCAAAAATTTCAGAAATTCCGCAAATTATTAGAATAAGTAAAGTTATGAATTGTTTCATCGTGTTGTTTTACGTTTATTTAATTGATGATTTATTTCAAATATTATATAATAAATTACACAATTAAAAAATTCACGTCGTTATCAGAATTTAAATCATATTAGATTAAATAGTAATCATAACTATAGTAGGTTTAATATTTAGTACAGTAATGTTGACGCGTGGATATATAAAGTGACACGTTGTGAAAAGTATGGAAACAGTAATACCAACTTATTTTTAAAACATTAAAAAAAAATTATTAGGTGTGATTTAAATCAATCTTGAATCATTGAAATAAAAAAATTGATAGCACAATAAATATATTTATATAAATTATATTATTATATTTTATACATAAATATATAAAAATATATTGCATAAACAATCAATTTTATACAATTTTATCAATGATTAATATTATTTTTATTTAAATTTAAAGTAAATTGTTAATTTGTGACTTTAATTTATGATAAATATCATTATTTTATATCATTCAAATATAAAATTTTTTTATTTTTATTCAATTATTTTTATTTAAATTAAAATTGAATTAATTTCTAAGTTTGATTTATGATAATAAAAAAAAATAAACACATGTATCAGTCAAATATATATATTCTTTTTCTCATGCTGTCCATTTTGTATAATAAATTATCTTTCCATTTTTATATAATATATATTTTATAAATATAATAAAATTGAAAAATTTAAGAAAATTATTTTAAATATTAATAAAATATAATATATGATAAAATATTGACAAAAAATTTTTTTATTTCAATATCATAAATATATATATTATATATATTATTATATATTATTATATATTAATATATATTAATATATATATATATAATATATATTTAAAATATATTAAATATATATTAATAATTACTAAAAATTTATATAAATATATAAAGTATACAATATAAAATATATATATAAAAAAATATTTGATTTACAAGTATTTAAAAAATCTAAAATGAGGTAGAAAATATCTACAATGCTAGAATAATCATTTATAATATAAATTTCTTAAAAATCACTCATCAAATTAATCAATGAATACATTTTTAAAACTTATTATATAGTATAATTATGTATAATATTTTTATATAATTACATTATACATAATATTTTTTAAAAATCATATTAAAATTTATGCTATTAAAATATTATAAAAAATATATTTTATATATATATAATATATATTAAATATAATAAAAAAAAAATATATATATATATATAACATATTATAATAATAAAAATTATATTTTATTCAATTTTAATGAAAATAAATTGTTATTTGCTTATAAGCATAGAATTATTGTTTGCTTATAATAATAAAATAAATTATATAACTTATAACTTCAATAAATATTTTTAAGCTTGTTATTTTATTATCATATAAATTTAAGTTTTCAAATGTCTATATTTTACATAATTCTATGTAAATGTGATATGATTAAATGGTTTTTAAATAAATATATAAAAAATAATTAGATTATTTGATTTAAAATTCAATTAAGTTCATTTCTTTTGTTACTGTATTTAATGCTGTTGATGTTACAACTGATGTAGTAAAAGAGCGTACGTGAGATCGAAAAGTTGATGCAGTTTCCCATGCTTCATCTCTAATAATTCCTTGATTTCGTGGATACATAAGCAAAGGATCTATTCCTGTTTTCTTGCATAATTTTTCTTGAAGTACTATTAAACGAAATCTCCAATATTCATAGCTTGCTTGTTTAAGAGCATTGACCCATTGTTCAACTTGAGATTCCGAACGACCACTTAAAATGTGTCTTTTTTCATATTCATCTCGAAATGCTATACTAAATGCAAAAACACCTTCAGAAGCAGCATCAAGATTAATACTGTAATTTTCTAAAATAATTACACCTGCTGGTTGCTTAGTATCAATTTGTCCTAATTCATTAATATTGAAATAGAACAATAAATTACATCTTAATTTGAACCATTTCTCCTTGAATCCTAAAGTATAATTATGTAAATATAAATAAACAATAACAGATTAATCATTATTCTTTTAATTAAGCAATAACATTAAAATTTAATAAATTATTTAACATAAATATAGTATGGAAAAATATATAACATCAGAATTTCTAATAATCAATAAGTTTTTGTATATAATATTCTTTTAAAAAAATAATTTTTAATAAAACTAACCTGATTTGTGTGCTCGTTTGTGATTTAAACGACCTTCAATATCAGCGGGACCATTACTTGCTTCTGCAAGTTCTTTTTCATTAAATTTCATGATGATAAAAAATTATTTACATTTTATACATTACATAAATTTATATCATATAATATATAATTCATATCACATTTCTTTTGTTGTTACTTTTATTACATAAAATTATATTAAAAAATTTGGTTATATTGTCGGAAACTTATTAATGTCAAATTAGTAGTATTATATTATGTGCCATTATTCATTTATTATTTTTTACTGATCTTAATTAAAAATTTTATCAAATATTTATAACAACCATTAAAAAAATATAATCTTTATTGCGTATTGACATAATGTAAATACTTATATAGTTTTTAGTTATTTAGTCATCAATTATAAAATTGCGAAGTATAGTATCAAAAATTTGAAATAGCGCGTTTGATCTAACAGTCTAAGAAACATATAAATGTTGTGTTTTCTAAAAAATTATTTTAATTTGTTTTTAATTTGGAAACAAAAAATAATTTTATTAATTTTATATATTTCAATATTGTTTCTAATGTATTTAATAAAATAGATAAAAGTTAAAAGATTTAGGTAATAAATAATTTTAATAAAATTGGCTAACCTGAAAGATATGTATGTTATGCATTTCATACGTTTTGCATGTAAAAAAGTTTATTAAATACAAATTGTTTATCAAATTTTATTCATATCTTTATTAATAATATTTTAAATTATTGAGCATTTTTTAATGATAAATTTTGACTTCTACTTCATACTATACTTTGTATTTATCATAAAAAAATTTATAGTTAATTTCATATAATAGAATAAAATTTACATAACAATAATTTATAAATATTTTTGTATAATTAAGCAATGGGTTCGTTAACGAGTCGACAAAATGCTGGTGTAGAAGAAGTTGATATTGTTTCAAATCATGCATATAAATATCCTCCTCGTTCAGGTTTGTTTATATTATTTTATAATTTTTAAAATAGTAAAATTATTAAATAAAAATTATTACGAAATATAGAAATTAAATTTCTAATTCTTATTTTAATAATTAAAAATTATATATTGAAGTACATATAAAGTATAATAAATTATATATTAAATATATATTAATTGAATATTTTATATATAAATTTAATATAATAATAAATTTTATTTATTAGGAAGTTATTTTGGTAGTCATTTCATAATGGGTGGTGAACGATTTGATACACCTCAACCAGAAGCATATCTCTTTGGAGAAAATGCTGATTTGAATTTTTTAGGAAGTCGTCCAACACCTGTAAGAGATATTATAATATTATGTAAACATATATATAGATTTAAAATATTTATATTTATTTTAGTTTCCATATCCTCCACCGCAAGCTAATGATCCTACTAAAACATTAAAAAGTTTAGTAAATATAAGAAGGGAATCATTAAGATTAATTCGTAATATTGATCAAACTTCTACTTCTCCTCAATGTCACAATGTAAAACATTATGGAGATGGAGATATAGATAAGAAATCAAATCGTTATAATATTGAATTTACATTTGATTGCGATGTAAGATGTGCAATTACAATATATTATTTTTGCACTGAAGAAATCACAACAAAAGGAGTTACGTATGTAATATATGTACTACAAAAATTTAGGATATATTATATATATATCAAATATATATAATTAAAAATTTAATATATATTTGTAGATACATACCAAGGGATCCCTCTATGAATTCTGAAACATATTATTATAAGAAAGGTGCCAATCAATTATTTTCTCAAACATCGCATATGTTTGATCCAACAATATATAACAAAGAAGATTTATTGTACAATATTGACAGGGAAGTATGTTTAAAATATCTATATATATATTTTTAATATTTTTAATAGAATTTTTAAATTATTTCTTATTAATTGCTATAATTACTTATAGATAATACCAATAGCAATTCATTGTATAGCAGAGGAAGGTTCAGATGAACCAAAACAATCTCATACAACTATTGCAGTTGTTGAAAAACATTCAGATGGAACATATGTATTAAAAGCTCTTAAACAAAAACTCTATGTTGATGGTCTTTGTTATTTACTTCAAGAAATATATGGAATTGAAAATAAAAATACTGAAAATGCAAAGGTATAAAATAAATAATGATGATATATTAATATATATTAAAATTTTTTATTTTAGATTTTTTTTACAATAATTTATTTTTTAGCAACAAGGAAGTGATGAGGATACAGATGATAATGGATCAGAATGTGTTATTTGTATGTGTGATGTTCGAGATACTTTAATATTACCATGTAGACATTTATGTCTATGTAATAGTTGTGCAGATTCTCTTCGATATCAAGCAAATAATTGTCCAATATGTCGAGCTCCTTTCAGAGCTCTTCTTCAAATTAAAGCTCTTCAAAAAGCAACTGGAGCTATTATATCAAATCCACCATTACCAGAGGTCAATATTTATTTATACAAATAAGTAATTTTATTAATGTATATACATATATGTATATATACTATTTTATATTTTACATATTTATATTATTTATTATATTAGTTCATATAAGTGTTTATCAATCTTCTTTGGCTAGTAAAGCATTTTAGAATTTAAATTTTACAACATATCATAATTGATAAAATAAAATTATTTTAATTATTTGAAATAATAAATTTTGATTAAAAATTACATAATTTATTTAAAAAGGAAGAAATATTTTAAAAAATATCATTATAATATAATAATTTAGTATATTAAGTATTCAATTTATTAGCAGCAACAAATTTGTTGAATTATCAAAAAGATTATTTATCAAAAGATAAAATCGGGAGATTTTATTTTTTAAATCAATACAGATAAATAAACTAAACATGGATATTATTCAAATAAATTTGAAAAATTTGAAAATCATTAAGTACTATGAATATTTATTAATTGAATTTAGAGAAAAAATGTAAATTTTAATATCAAAAAATTGAATAATTCGGGAATCAAATAATCTAAGCTTAATTGAAGCTTATTGTATAAAAATATTTATATTAATGTATATATATATTATGTATAATAATGATTTTTGATTATCATTGATTATATTTTCAATATTATTTATAAATATTAAATATTTTTAGTAAAATTTTAATAAAATTTTTGCAATATATATTCACAATACAATTAATATGTTATGATTCATTGATTGGAAAACATTGCTTGAATTCAATATTTGATGGAACATTGAATAATTTTATGTCTATTTAAAATAGATATAAAATTAAAAATATTAGACTAATTTTATGAATGAAATATTAAATCCTTTTTTAGGGAAGTTGTGAAAATATACCAGCTGGATATGAAGCTGTATCATTGATAGAAGCTTTAAATGGTCCATACATTCCAAGAACAACTACTGTTCTTGTTCCAGAATCTCCAGACACTCCTGATACAGACACGGCTAGTGCAATTCAAGCAGCTGAAACATTAAATAGGTAAAATAATACTCTAATTTAATTAATTTTTTTATATATGCATATTTTATGTTTATGTTAATATAATTCATTTAAATTCTAATGTAATTGTAATATGCATATTATGTTATTAAAAGGTCAGTAGAACGTACACCTGTCATATCAAAACATGTATCTTCAAAAGAAGCAGATATATCTGCAAGAACTAGTGGTACTGCATGTCCTACTCCAGAGTTTCGAATGTCTATTTTATTAGCTAGAGATGAACACTCAGGATCACAAAAGGATATACACAGTCGATCTCCAGCAATGAGAATAAAATCTTCTGGTCACTTACGGGAAAAAATAGTACTACGATCACGAGACACTCTTAGACTTGTTAATGAAAAACAACCAGTATCTCTTTATGAGGTATTCTATTAATACTCGTGCTACGATTTTTTAAAGTTATATAATTTTAATAAAATATTAAATATATAATTTTTATTTTGTTGTTCATATAAATCATATTTACAGGGACAAGGACAAGATGAAGATAGTGAAGCAGAAAAATTGTCTCCATTATTAGATGCAGCAACTAGTACAGAAGCACTTGATAATAATAGTCACGGAATATGTGATATAGATATTGATGATGAAATGCAAAATACAGAAAATGAAAATGATGTTGATATTACATGTCATTCACATTAAATATCCATTAAAATATTTAATGTATATTTATTATATTTAATTTAATTATTTTTTATAATATAAAATATTTAGTTTGTTTATAAATTTTTTTTAAAATTCTGAATATAAATTGTAAATAAGATATTATATATGTAAATTGTAAATTATAAGAATTTTTTTTAAATTATTTACGATTAAAATTATTAACAAAAAATTATAAAATATAATTTATTGCATTGCAATATATATGATTTTGTAATCTTCAATAGATATTTTTCATGAATTTTAATGTTTAATAAATATAAATCTGTAAATTTTTTTCCAGAATTCAAAAGGCATAACTAATATTTTAGAACAAGTATTTAATGAAAATCATGAATTTAATATATACTTTTTTTAATAAAATGAATTCTATGTCACAAATAAAATAAAATAAACTATTTATGCTACTTTATTTAAAATTTAAATGAGTGAAGTTGCAGAATCTGTTCGATTTTTGCTTCTTTGCATTGATCTATTGCATAGTTTTAATTTTGCTTCCAATCTGACAGGATTTGCTTTAACAGGTTTTATTATATTTCTGTTATTCTTTGTTACTAGATTCAAATTCAATATTAAATTTACCATTTTTGTGATAAAAAAATTTTAATAACAGAATTTTGATAAAATCTGCTATTCATAAATTTGACTGATTGATTCTTATATTTGCTCTTGATACAAAATATTTCTATAGATCTTTTGAACAAAATGATATAAATAATTATTAAATTATTATATATATATTATATATAATAATATATTATATTATATAATATATATTATTATATATATATATTATATAATAATTATATATATAAATATTTAAATATATTTAAATATTGAGCAAAAAATATTAAAAATATCCATTTATATTGATATTTTTTAAATTATATTTATTTTATTATTTTTATTATTTAAGATATCTAAATGAAAAAAAAAGAAAATGAAAATGAAATAAAAAGAAAAATAGCTACATATTAGATGTGTTTCTTATATTTTTATTGCTTTCAACAAATCCAAGCAACATGTATCAAAGAAAGTGTGTTGAATATTATAATTTATTCATTATCTGTGATATAATTCAATAAATAAATATATATAAATTTTTATTGATAAAAAAATATTTGTTATTCAATACATTTTCTTTGATATATATACAGTGGGTAATAAAAGTATTTGAATGCTTACATTTACTATTTTTGATGAACGAAATATATATGTTAATGCAACTTGTTTAAGACAATGTATGGTAAGAAAGAAATCTCAAGATTATGTCAACAAAATTTGAAAATGATTCACTAATTTTTGCAGTAGTTATAATACATATATTACAAACACACACTGTTAATAGGTTACAAAAGTATTTGAATACCTCATATATACAGTATTACTTAACATTAATATTTTGTTGGACCATCTTTGGTGGTAATAATTTGTTTCAATTGACGTTCTATACTATATACCAGTGATTTTATAAAATTACAATTGATAGAATTCCATATTTTTATAATTTTTTTTTAAGTATCTGTTTTGAAGGTTTCTGAAGTTTATTTAATTTTTTGCCTATTTCAATCCATAAATTTTTCAATAGGATATCTGAATTCTGTGGTGGAATATTTAACATATGGGATATATTGTATGGAATCCATTCTTTCACGATTTGTGCTGTATGTTTAAAAGCATTGTCTTGTTAAAAGTAAAAGTCTTTTAACAATCCCAATTATCTTTGAGATTGTTCTTTAAAATATCTAAATATTTGTATTTATCCATCAATAAATACTAAATTTTTTGTATCATTAACTGCCATATAGCCCCACACTATGATTGAACTACTATATTTTATTATTGGGCATATATTTTTGACATCCAATTCTGTATTTGATCTTTTCCATACATAATTTTGCCTATCCGAGTTAAAAATATTAAATTTAGATTTATTAGAAAATATCATTTTTTCCCAAAAATCATTATCTTTTGTTACAAATGTTTTTGCAAAAGTCAATCTTTTTTTTTGATTTTGCTTATTAATGTATGACTTTCTTCTTGATACTCTAACATGAAAATTATTATTTCGTGAGACTTATTGACATAATTGAGGATAAACAAACATTTCTGATATCATATTTGAAAATGTAGGTGTAGATATAATAGGATAGATAGGATTTTTCTTTACTTTGCAAATAATAACTTTTTCTTCTCTTTCAGTTAATTTTCTTGATCAACTTAAATGAGCTTTATTTATAACTATTCCTTCATTTTTTGATTTTTTTATGATGTATTGTAGATTTTATTATATGATTTTCCATTCTTATGCAACCGAAGAATAGTTTTTCGTTCACATTTTTCTATTTGACTTTTTCGTATTCATTTTAAATATTTTACCGCAGATTTTTATTTTATTATCAATGGAACGATAGCTTAATATCAACTGAATGTGAAAATGCTCTCACTTAATATCTGTGTTTATATTTCTGATTAAAGTGTTTAAAAGCTATTAAGAATATATCAACGTTCGAATACTTTTGTAACCTACTAACAGTGCGTGTAATAATAAATGTGTTACATCTATTATATAAATTGATGAATCATTTTCAAATTTTGCTTTTGACATAATTTTGAGATTTCTCTCTTTACACTATGCACCTCTCATTGTCTTAAACAAATTCTATTAACATATATTGTAGAAAGATTATAAATAAACGTTCAAATACTTTCCATTATACCCACTGTATACATTACTTGAATATCTTCATGCTTGATTAGCAATAACCAATATTATCATCCTGGCTCGAAAAAAAAATTGTGCTTCTTGACATAATACTAAACACTAACATTGACAATGTTATTTTATAAATAATTTTATAAATAATAAATTTTTGCAAAAGAAAATATTAGTTGAAATTATCTCAGGAGTCTAATTAATGGATGTTCTCACATTTAGAGACAAATAAAATTTTAATATTTATAGAGATATGTTAATAAATTCAATTTTTTTTAAATAATAGAAATAAATATAATAATTTTCATATATATATATACATATATATATTAACTTTTAATAAAAATAGTTTTATAATTATCTAAATAAAATAATTATTAATTATTAATTTATTTATTAATTATTAATTTTTTTTTTTAATAATTCTCACTGTTTTTTATTTTTGAATAAGATGATAATTTTTAAAAATATTACTATTATATTGATTATATAGAATAAGAATATAATTACTAGTTGAAATTATATTATGTATGTATCATTTCTTGGTTCAAAAGAAATGAGTAAGCAACCTCTATTATTATTGTTATTGTTTGTTAATATTTCTTATTTGAAATATCATTCTTGAAGTTTCAAATTGTTTTGTTTAATAATATAGGGATAAATACTCTATCGTTTTTTTTTCGGTTATTTAAAATATTTAAATGAGATAAAAAAAATATATAAAAATATGTATATTCATATATATTTTTTTTAATTATAAATAAGTTATTAAGGATAAAAATAATTTATTTTTTGGATAAATAACATTCATAAAAAGAATTAAAAAAATTTATATTTTCTGATATCTTAATAAATAAGATTTGTATTATATTTATGTTTTATATTTCTATTTATAAAGATAACGAAATAAGAAAGGAATAAAGTTTGAGATTAAAAAAAATCTGATTAAAAATTTGAGAAATAAAATTAATTTTCTGGCAAAGCTATCAGAAGATACATATATATATATATATATATATATATACATTATTTTTAATGTATATATATATTAAACATTTAATTATATTTTATATCAATGCAGTCATCTTAAAATTTGTATACATAATAATTAGATAATAGAATATTTTTTATTTTATAGGGTTACTCATATTTACTTTGCTAGACTTTATTTTTTAGAAAAAATAAAATTTTATAAAATTTTTAAATAATTAACAAAAAATATAATTATACAAATATAAACTCTCCTTAAATAAATTACAAATAGTTTAAATATTTTAATTTTTAATTTTATCAAATTAAATAAAATAAGAATTAAATGATAATAAATATTAAATTAAAAAATAATAATAAATAAACTAATATAATATAAAAGTATAAAAATTGCAGAATAAAGTATAACAAAGTATAATAAATACGGAAAAATTAAAAACATGTGCTTACTTTTAATTATTTAATAAAATTCAAATTCAAAAAATCATATTTTATTTAAGCAGCAGCAAGAACTTTTCTGAATTTTTTCCATTCATCAAGTGGTCCATGTTCTGGTAAGTATTTGACATTACAACCATCTGGAGCTAATCGACCTGCTGCTTTCAGTTCTTCATATTCAGCACGATCATATTTGGTAAAACCCCATTTCTTTGAAACATATATTTTTTGACGACCAGGAAATTTGAATTTTGCACGTCGTAATGCTTCAACTACAGCAGCCTTATGACGATCAGATGAACGTACACTCATAATGGGTTGTCCAATATGAACCCTAGCTACAGTACCTTGAGGTTTACCAAAAGCACCTCTCATTCCTGTTTGAAGTCTTAAAAAATGTAAAAAAAACAATATTTAATGAAATTAATCAAAATTATAATTTATTAAATATAATTCTATATCTATTAAGATCTATTAAGATAGGTACTAAAGAGCATATATGTACACTTGTTTTTTCTCTATATATGATAGGACTTGCTCTGATGTGCATATGCTAATTATTAATATTCAATATTATTTTAAAAAATTTCATTATTATTAAATGTATAATTATTAATTATTTATGTACCTATCAGCTCCAGCACATGATAACATTTTATTGATACGAATAACATGAAATGGGTGTAATCTCATACGAATATGAAATTGATCTTTTCCAGCATTTTTCACCATATATTTATTTGCACAAATACGTCCAGCTTCAAGAGCTTCAGAACTAAGTTGTTCATATTCATCCGATACTAAATGTACACATAATGGAAAATCTTCCACAGAAGCTTTTTTTTTTTCCAAGATCAAAAATACGTATCTTTGGATCAGGCACACCTCTACAAAATCTTGATTTAGGATAAGGTTTATTCTTACAATATCGATAGCTATAAGGAAAAATATTAAAAAATTGTATTAAAAATATATGTATAATTAAAAACAAAAAATTGAAAATTAATAGAAATATAAAAATTTTTTATAATAAACAAGAAAAAATTATTATTAATATATTTAAATAAAATTGTGTAAAATTTTATTAGATATAAAATTTATTAACAAAATTAAATAAATATAAATATATGTACTACATACCATCTAGCTGGTCGACGCCCCATATTGACTATTAACAATAAACAAAAATCATATAAATAAAAAATAATAATTGTATAAGCTTATTTAATAATTTAAAACAGTACAGAACATAAGGATGATTAATATATATTTGGATATTTTAAGATTAAAATGAATTAACATGAACGATACCTTGCTTTTCTTATCGATGTAAAATGACGAAGAAATCAACCAAGCTGAAATAGATTACAAATGAAGATCGTGAATTTAGTTACAAGAATCTAGTTACTAAAAAATCACTATTTAAGGATGATTTTTAATCAACGATAGCGTTCTAATGTATGAAAATTCATAGAAACACAGAAAATATTATAACTTACATTATTTATATTTCATCAAAATGTTATAATGGAATCAGAATTATCAGAGGAAACTACTTTACGTCCACAATTTACAGTGGATGATTTGGATATTGAAATATTACCAATTATATATGAAATAATTCGGAGGTTTGTATATTTTAATAATTTGATAATTAGAATAGTTGTTTAATGATTTTGAATTATTTTAAAATAAAGATATAATTTATTTAATCTTTATTTGTATTTTTATATTAATTTTTTTGACTCAATATTTTTCTTTATAAATTGTTTCTTTAAAATCATTATACTTAAAAACATATTTTTTCTTTATAAAATATTTTTTAAATTAATTATAATTTGAAAAATATACTTAGGTTATATTTTAAATATATTTCGGTAATATGTTAATAATTATTGCAATTATATATATATGCATAAATTATATAAAATATATATATATATATAATTTATATATATTATTATATATTATATAATATATATTTATATTTAAAATATAACAGTATTTAAAATAATCATATCTTAAATAGAAAAAGAAATTAAAAAGAAATTATTAATAAATATCTTTTTAAAAAACTTTATTATATATTAATTTTATTCTATTTGTATTTTACTTTTAGTGTTGAAAAAGATCCACATGATACTGCGCAAAAAGCTAAAGAATCACAAGATACAAGTCATAAAATTTTAGAACTTCAAAAAAAATTAGATTCTACAAGAGCTCAGGTGAAATGCTATGAAATATGAATAAATATTTTTTGAATATATTTATTTTTTATTCTATTTCTTAATATATGTAATTATATATTTTTTTAAATTTCTAAATGCAATCTTTTATAATACAAAATATATAAGTAATATATATATGTTATACACACACACACATCTATCAGCACATATATTATATAGCATATATATTGTAATTATATATCATATTTTATAACTATGTAATATAGTTTTTATATTTTGTAGATTAAAAGATTACCAGGGATAGAATATAGTAAAGAAGAACAATTACAAAAACTGGAAACTTTACGTAAACAACTTAGACTTAAGCGAGAGCTCTTATTAAAATATCGTAACATGTGTACATTTGAAGTTCCAAAAATATAAATATTTTTATTTGCTTTTTAAAAAAGGCAAATCAAACATGGGTTTTTGGCGTATCTTATTTACATATTTGATACATAATGAACAATTAATTAATAAATTGGCAAATACAAAACCAATTAGACGATCTGCACAATTCATAGCATATTTGATACTTCAAAGTAGAACACATGGTATTTCTTTACCTTTTAATCAAGAGAAATTTTTTTGAACGATTAAAAATTACAAAATACATTAAAGAAAAATTACAAGAAGCAAAAAATGAAATAAAGAAAAATTCACAAAAATAGTTTTTGTAAAAATATTATTATAACTAAATTTGATAGATGATTAAAAAATTTTCATTCATTTAAAAAAAATTTACATAAAGTAAAAAATAAGATAAAGAAAATTTACCAAAATAATTCTTTTAAAAATATGTTATAGCTATAATTTATTGTAGTCTTGATAGTTACAAATTATATTTGTAATAATTGTCTTATAAATAAGTAATAATAAAAAAATATGAAAATTTATAATTTTTTAAATTATTTTATCCAACATATAGACTTAAATTTTATTTTTATGTACAATTACTATTTTTTATATAAATAAAGATAATTATGTTTTCATAAAATTTCATAAAAATTTTTTTTATTACAGTATAATTTAATATTAATATTTAATATTATTTTTATATGAATAAAAAATAATTTAATTATTTTACATTTTTTTCCTCTTTTTTATTATTAATTAATTAATAAACATTAGAATTTTTCTATTATTTATA